TAACCCGTAAAGTGGGATTCGCTGCTGTCCTTGTTTGTCATTGTCCCTGTTCACACTTATTTCGGAGCGTGGAATCTGGAGATGGAAACATTTCCCAGGTTTGCCTCAGCAGGTTGGGTCAGATGGTTCAGGTCTGCTTGGCAGCCCATCAGCAGCAGGGATAGTGCCTTTGCCCGGGACAGGAGACTCTAGGGGTACATCTGGGACATGCTGTAATGTTACCAGTTAATTATTTACTGTGGCCAGAAAGGAACTTTGCATCGTGTTCTGGGTAATGGATTTATGGTGCTTCCTGCTGGGCTTTGTGCTGTTGACGCAGCAGGAGTAACAACAAAGCCGTTGCAACAATATCAACCACGCAGAAAAAATAATTCTAGAAAAAAATACATCAGGAAGAAATGAGTGCTGAGTTGAGTATTTATTTCTGGCTGGTGCCAAAGCATCATCATGTCCTGAGGAATAAGCCAGTAGAATAAATCTTGAATGTGATTAAACAATAGCAAAAAGTGTGAGAATGTTGGGTGTATTTGCATCCAGATGTCAGGGGGTTTGTCATGAGCAGAACTCTGTCTTCAGAGGGTTTTCCATGAGTGAAGTCTTTCTTACCTGCCTGACGTAGAGCAAAGCTCAGCTGTGAATTTGTATAGTGACGGGATCCTGGCTTCAAGGTGTGTTTCATGGGGTGAATACGCGGTCACACAGTGACGGGCGCTTCTCCCCGCTCAAGTGCCAGAATCATTCAGCTTGGGAGGACAGCTCTGCTGTCTGTAGCAAGAGTTGTTGCAACTTTGCTGTATAAAGAGGAATGTGAGCGAGGAGACAGCAAAGCTGAAACATCTTCTGTGTGGTGGGATGGGGCTGGTGCTCTCAGGACCAGCATGAGAAATTTATGACTCGTCTGTTACCTCCAACACCTTTCCCTAGTCAGCTGCCTCTGTCTCGGTGAGCTGGAAACACAGAGGGTATGCATTGACTCCCAGCTCTTTGATCTGGTTATTGTACATCTCTGCCCTTTGGAGCTCACTGCCCCTCCATTCTTGCCGATTCCCAGAACTGCTCTGCAGCTATCCATCTGTTGCACTGGATTGACAAACCTGAGTGAAACATGGAGCTAAAATTTCATCCAAGTGTGAACTAGCTCCCTGAATTCCCTTTCTGGAAGGAAGAGTGGCTGGGCAGAGGGTAGCCCAAAGAATACTGGATAAATGTAAAATCCTTGGGAATCCTGCAGATTGAGATATCAAATCAAAGCAAGCTGCTAGTCTCAGGGATAAGAAGCACAGTGTTGCAGCAGGGTACAGCCCACACCTACATTTTGCCTCCACAAGGCATAAGTACTTTCCTTAGGAGGTACCCAACCCTGCTGAGGAAGGTGCAGTGGGAAAGGCCCCTCTGCTGCAGGGTAGCTCCTGTCCTTGCCGTAGCCTTCACTGGGCCCACGGGAGCGGCCATGTCCTGGCCAGGCTCTCCCAGCTCCGCGGCCAGGGCCAGGGTGCTGCTGTCACTGCTGGTGTGCCCTGTGCTGCCCTGGTCACGTCACGGCTCAGCAGGCGGTGACACGCTCGCTGTCCTAGGAGAGAGATGAAGTTCACGGAAAAGCTGATTAAAGCCATGGAGCTTGTGCCAGTGTCTGGTCAGCATGGGAGTGGGGATGGTGCAGCTGCAGAGAACTGTTCTCTTGGCACCAGGTGCAGCTGGAGGATACACTTTTCATTGTGATCTTTCAGTCCTGGCTGTATGGCTGGTTGTAAGGATGTCAGGGGACTGAAGTGTTCATTTCTTGCACTCCACCAGGATTCACTACACAAAGCTGCAAGCTGGTGCCAAGGAGATGGTCAAAGCAAGCTCAGAAGGTGAGGGAACACTAGCCAGGGGCCCAGTGAAGGTGCATTGGCCAAAGGCATAGACCAGTTTATAGTATTTTTACACTCATAAATAGTAAAGGCAGCTTATACCAATGGTAGGGCTCCAGAGGGGATGGGCTTGCTGGGTGGGAGCAGGGCAAGGCAGGAGGGCCAGGAGCTGCCAGAACACGAAGCCTCTGGACCACACGGGGCACGCACAGGCACCAGGAGAGCAGGCTGCTCCGAGTATCCGGACTCTCAGGCAGGGAGAGCTGCCTTTCCTGGCCCTCCTGCTCAGGGACAAGGCTGGGAGGGTTGGCATTAGCGATGCAGGGGAGAGTCATTGGGGGAAATCGGGCTTTCCATCGATATACATGCTATCACGTCGGTGGCATTGGAGATGCTCTGTGTTCAGCAGCTGGAACATCAGTCTGAAGCAGCAGGAAACGCTTTTTCTGTATGGGTACGCTGTACTGCTCCTTGTCTCACTAGGCACACGGTCAGAGCTGCTAATTAAAGAGGCACCTCTCGGGTGAGGATGTGGTGCCCATTATAAATGTTCACTATTGTTGAAAACCAGTCAGTCTAGTTAAGTTGCATGTGCTGCATTAGGCTGGAAAGATAGCTGCTTTCCCAACACATGGGGATTTCCCTCAAACATACAAACATTTGTGGAGGTTAAGTCTGAATTCAGGTATTAAGATCTGTGTATAGTTTAGGTTACTTTACTTTTGTAAATAATTTTCTTAACACAGCTCCACCAGGTTATTGTCTTGCCTCAGATGATTTTTTAGCCAAGCCCGGTATGGGCACACTCGAGAGCCTGGCAGGTCTTTGAAGGTCTGGAGGATGTTTGTTGAAGAAGTTGTTCACAACACTACAGGGAACTGGTGGCTCAGGCCTTGCTGCTCCTGCAGTCCCACTGCCTGAAGGTGGCATTTGCTTTGACCCGTGCCCCACACCAGGGCCATCAGGCAGCTCTGTAGTTCCCCTGCAGCGAATGCTGTGCCGGGTACTCCAGGGCTGCTGTGATCCCGGCCAGTCCCTCCAGCTGCCCTGCTCAGAGCCCCTAAGCACCAGATACCCTGGCGAGAAGTGCTGTGAGCAAGGAGGTGATAAGGCAGGAGCATGCACATACAAGACAACACGTATGCCCCATTCCCACAAAGCAGTTCACGAGGAAGGTGCATAATCTGCGACCACGGTGTTGCAGCCATCCTGGGAAGGTGTCACGACTGGCCTTGCTGCGGTGAGCTCCTGTGCATCGGAGCCGTCCCTTGCTGAGGGCAGGCTGCACAGAGGTCCAGCATATGTACTGGAGGAGCGGAGTCAGCAGCAGCATTGGAGCATCCTCATATCTGAAAAAAAACCCCAGTACACTGGCATCTCCTCGCTCACCAAAGAGAGGGACTGCAACAGGCTTGTTTGTTCCAGCTGCTGCCCTGTGTGCTGCTGAAGCTGCAGCTCCGCTGCTCAGAAAATGTCTGCATCGCTGAGATCGAGTCCCATCCTGAAAAACACGAGGGTCTTGGCACAAGCACACAAGATCCCTGTCAGGTGATTATCCGCGTGTGTACTCAAACACTCTTCCTGACGAAAACAGGTATTCGTGATTTAGTGCCACCCTGGGCTGGCCTGGAACAATGCTTATCCTGACTGCATGCTAACCAGACATCTCCTTCGACACAAGCAAGGGTGGCACAGTGTGCTCCCAGCAGCGCTAGTAGGTGTAGCCCTTGCTGTACAGCTGTGGAGGGAGGCTCCCAAGGTCCGGCACGTAAGTAACATTCTCATCCAGGTGAGACAGAGGCACTGTGTCCTCTTCACTGATCTGCCGGTCAAATTCTGCCTTCAGCGCCGGCCGCTGGTTGTCGGGGAAGGCCAGAGAGAACAAGGCTTCAGGCTCACACACAAACTTGTACACATAGCGCTCTCCAGCCACCTGCAGGGAAGACAGGAGACAGACGCTGCAGGCACACAGGCAGCACTGGGCGATGCTCCTCTGCAGCAGAGGAGTCTTGCAAACACGTGTGTCTGCTCTAGCCCGTTACCCTGAGACATGTCAGAGTTGTAAACTTCTCCTCGTGCTGTCACACTGCTGCTCTGCTGCTCCAGTCTCCCCTGGACAGCTCCTGGGAAATGAGATGCTGCCAGCTTTGGGTAGCAACAGCATCAAGAGTCCCTGACCAGTCTGTACTGTGACAAAATTACAGTTGCAGTTATTCTCTCCAGTGCCCTAGATCTGGAAGAGACCATCCCTAACACCTCCGACCAACTCCCCAGCAGCCTCTCTCTCACCAGCAGCAAGTCTAGAGTGATTATATGTCCTTGCAGCTGCATAAATTCCAACTCTTCTGACTGCAGACAGAGAGAAAGAAAGGAAGAAAGAATTATTCCCCTTTGTTTTATTTCCCGTATGTTGCCTAGATTCAGCTCCTTTACAGCTTCCTCATTTAACTGCTGCAAAGAGCAGTTATGGGAAAAGAAAGCTCAGGACGCCTGCGCAAGTATGTTCTGTACCTGTAAGACTTCCTGTCTCAAGCAAGAGAAGCATCACTAAAGGCATAAAACCTCCATCTGCCTTGCAAACTGACCTTCTGCATGATGCCTTTCTCATAATAGTAGCGAAGGGATCGGCTCAGCTTGTCGTAGTTCATGGCTGGACGGTTCTTTTGGATACCCCACAGCCTGGCTACCTGCAGAATAAAGCATCAAAGTGCATGAATGTCTGTGAACCCAGCCCAAGGGCAAAAGAACATTATCCAGCTGAGTCTCTTTAGAGGAGTGGTACCACAACACATATAAACATTTACAACGTAACAATAATTATTTACAAACAATAAATATTTATCAGCTTTTCAACTGGAAGAGTACAACTCAAACGGAAGCACCTGATATCACAGAGGGGCATTTCCTTGCCACTACAGAGCTCATTTGCTGTCACCACTTCTCCTTACTCTCCAGTATTCTAAAAGCTTGAGGATGCTAAAGGACTGCTTCATCCCATGCTACACTTCATCTTCAAGGATCACAGATGTACCAGGAGCCCAAGTGTGAGGGAACACCTCCCCTGGAAGGCCCATGTGCCTTTCTTCCTCCTGCTACATGATTTCAGCTTTGTCGATGAGACTCAGAAATCTGTTGAAAGCATGTGTCAGCCCACCAGAACAACTCACTTGCACTGAAAGTACCTGTAAAGGTTGGTATGTAGCAAAACCAGTGCTAAATGCAGCTCTCATTGGAGCAAGATATGAACAGGTATTACAGACACACCTCCCAGATATCCCTGGGTTGGTTGGGGTTTTTTTTGGAACAAGGCAGCATTAGAAATTACACCGTAGTTAATGTCATTTTGATATAAAATTATATTTAGACTGGGATGTAGTTTCTTCTAGATTTTCATGAAAACTTCTGCTATCAGTAGGGTTCAGAACTCCAAACCTCAATGTCAGCAAGTACAGAGCATGGTAAGACGGCACGGGCCACAGCAACCTTGAGAGTGAAGTGTCTAGGAACGTGGAGGCAGTGGGTAATTTGACTCACAGCATTCCTGAGACTCTAAACTTACAGGCGGCCTTTCTTAAACCTGATATTTGTGTCGCCCAAGTGTTTTGACCTCTTTCAAAAACCTTGACTTGCTGCAAGCTGGCCGCAGGAGCCTTCACAGGGCAGAGGAAAAGCCACCTGGGAATTTGCAGCCTCAAAAACCAGTGGCTGATCCCCCTGAGCCTGTGGAGAAGCTAAATGGTTTCACCTCTTCTGGCTCAATGAGCTTGAACTCCATCCCTCTACCAGTCCAGGCAATGAAGTGGGAGTTGGTTGGATCGTCCAGTAAAGCCACAAGAAATTGCCAGAGCTGGAGAGATCCCCGTCTCTGGTATGGAGGTCCTTCCCGGTACCCTCCGGCTTCCTGCTTGATGT